TTTTTGTGGGGGGGGGGGTGTTATACTTGTTTTTTCAACGTCGCTTTGGTTACATCATCAATCCCACTTTCTTAGCAAATGTGTAAATACATTTGTCTCTAAACTAGAGAGAAGTGCTCTGCGTTTACTGACTGTCCCCTTTTTTACTTTAAAATCCTAGCCTTTCCTTCCTTTCTCTTCTTGGTCTACAATAAATGACATCCTGTAAGAACATGTTTCCTGTTTTTTCTAATTTTACACTGTTCCTACGTCATATACTGAATTAGAAATTTCTATCTTGCAGATACGGAATATAACTTGCTTTCCTTTACTGCTTTCTTGACAGGCTCAAGATAATATAATGAATCTTCCATTAGCAAATGGATGGGGGGAGAAGCACCGACTCTTAATAGAGTGGAAATATGTGGAAGCAAAGGTATACAAGAATTGCTTTCATTCCTTTGTTTCCTCACAGTATTTTGTTGTCATTCACAGTAAAAACTGTCCTTCCTGTCTTTGGTATAACTATTGCTTTTGGATCTCAAATTATGAAAATGATAGTATGTATTCTCCTTATGCTAAGTTGCATGGAAAAGATGAACTACTGAAAACTGAACTAACTATTTGATTGGTATTGGAATATAACTGCAATGAACTTGACTAACTTCCTCTCTTTTTCTTACCTTGCTTCTTTGCTTCCTAGTTTCACTTTCTTCCACATCAATGATCAACTAATTGGTAAATCAAGCTGACTTGCACTCATGAAACTGCACTTGCTTTCACCAATCTCAAATTGCACTTTACTTTAACCTCATGGAGCCCGACATAATTTCTCGTGATTCTTGAGCTCTAAAAAATGGTTTTGATCAAACAGGATCTGTAGCACCTCGCCATTTTGTCCGAATCTTCCATTGACATGTGCACACACACACGAGCAAGCAGATAACAAAAATGAATTTTCTTGATGTCATTTGACCTTCCCATGCCACAAGACTAATTTCAATTTGGATCAGTAGGCTGATATTGGTTAGGTTTTCCAGCCACTGATTTGTTGGCCTGTTCTTTGTAGCTCAATCTCTACTGTAATCATATTTTTCTTTAGATAGCATGTTTTCTTTTCATTTAAAAAATCCTTTCTAACTTTTCTTGTAATGATATTCCAACTTCTCATAAAAAATAAAAAAATCTTTCTAACTGTTTTGGTCTCTTGTAATTTGCATTTTATATCGCTGACATTCAATCAAACTTTTCTTTTAATAATATTCTTTCACCATACCAGGCTGCAGCATACTATTATCATGGCTTAATCCTTGATGAGGGGAACACAGAGAAGTCTCATGTGATGGCTGTAGCTGCCTTGCAAGCTGCAGATGAGTATTTTAAAGAAAGTAAGAGGGCATGTGAGGCATTCAATGCGGCTTCTCCATTGTCAAGGTAATAAATCTATTAAAGTCCCTCCTGCTTAGGACCTTCATAAGGTGTCTCTCTGTGATGGGCAATGCATTGTATACTCGTTCATCTTTGTTTTATGGTATAGCTTTTTCTTCATAATATCAATTTAATGTGATTTTTTCGGTGGTATTGATCTTCACTAAATTAGCATATTTGTTTCCTGATCTTACTGCATGATACTAGTAAAAAATTCAAACGATTGCTAATGGTCTTGGCTATCAATGCCTTAACCTTTTGGTATATCCATGGCATTGGTATTGTTTGGCCATGCTGGTTCCATGGGTTTTGCATCTTAGGACATGGTTTTCCAAATTATGTGATTTATTTTTATTGAATTGTAGGTGTGCGATGCTTTCAGATGTTCTGTAGTGATATAGGCCTTCACTTAATTGAAATTTTTGCATCTCCTTTTCAAGTTTCAATTCATTTTGATGCAGAAACCCGCCACTTTGGGGAACCATGAAGTACCTCTCTGACAAAATTCCAAAAGATGCTTCTAGCAAAGTGCGCAAACCCCCGCCACTTTGGGGAACCATGAAGTACCTCTCTGACAAAATTCCAAAAGATGCTTCTAGCAAAGTGCGGATAAACCGTGATCTATACTCCTATGAAAAGTAAGTGATTCTTTTATTAGGTGATTTTTAGGTTAAAGTTATTTCGAAATTGCTTGGTTAATAAGTGAAATTACATGATCCTGTAACCTGAGGTTCTGGTGATGTTGACTGCAGAATCATGGAGACAGCACCAACGTTGCCTGATTTTGCTCTGGCGCTGAAACCTGATGACTTTCAGCTCCCTCCAGTTGACTCTTCCTGGAACGAGGAGAATGTAGTTGCTGGACAAGCCAGCTCCAACCATCTAAGGAGCGAGTGAAGATAAACCATACTACATTTCCAGAGAAGATAGGCACATGTGGCCTCAAAATTGTTAGAGACAAGGGCGAGTCAACAAGTGAACCATTCTTCCATTGGGTGCCAAATCTACTTTCAGCACACCCTGCTTCCCGCCTTCTTTACCCCCCACCCTTTTATCTTCTCTCATTGTCAAAGATCTGTGAGTTATCATGCAGTAGAGCTCTGTACAAGTTCCTGTTGTGCGAAAATTGGATATTGCCTGAAAAGGGTTGATTTTCTTTTCCAACACCAGAATAACCGTATGCCGTTCATCTCATTGAACTTGAAGCTAGCAAAATTTGTCTAGTTTGATAGAAAGCCGGCGTGTAAATTTGATTGCAGCTGGTGTATCTGTGTGCACAGAATGAATGGCGTGGGAAAGAAATAAGGACAATCATTTTTTCGCAAGCATTTTTCTGCTACTTTCTTTTGGTAGCCTCGTTGCTTTTACTTCTTCCAGCAACACTAGCATTGATGTTGCTTTCTTCAAGTTCTCAAATCTCAGCAGTAGAATGGCATCGTTAAGATTAAATGAATGATTGACAGCAAAAGAGCAGCTTCAGGTGCCCCATAAAATTGCCATCTTGCAAAAAATATTCCAATCCAAGCTCCTGTAGCCTACACGCAATGCTGATTGTTCTTTTGGCATCTGAACGGCCGTGAAGTACCAGCAATAATAATAATTGAACCTTCGGGTGTGTTTGGACATTTAGGGTCTAAGTAGAAGTAAAATGTTTTTTTTCTTGAAAATAGTAATGTATAAATACGAAAAATTAATAATTTAAAAGTAAAAAAAATTAAAAGCATATTGAACCGAGGCTTTAGTTCTTATAAATTGACATCAAACAATAAAAATATACCAGTAGTACCAACTTTGTACCAAAATTATTACAATTATAATTTCGCTACTAAACTATTTTAATATCTCAATTAATAACTTTTTTTAAAAAAATCGCTTTAAAAAAATATTTGCTGCAAAACGACAATGCTCTTCAGAAGGAAAACAATACAATTTGAATGGAGAAAAGTCTGAAAGTGATGGTAAAAATCATATAAAAAATTGTTTGGTAATAACATTATAGTTGAGTGGCGTTTGTCAAGTTCATCCTAAAAAGATCATCACTTCACTTAATAAAAACATATAGAGAATGACAGTAGAAAAATCTAAAATTAGCAGAAACTAATCCACAGAAAGCCTGTGGCATGGGAAGTTTACTCGGACATTAGAAACATACAACTAGGTTGCCATACTGCACATTACATGAAGGATATCGGTTCCTGTGTTACTAACATTCCCAATTTTGTAATGTTTGATTCGTTACTGAAAAAGTAAAAAAGTTCTCTCATGAAGCTGCAGCTTTGGCTGGCCAAATGAACTACAACTCTGTTCTTGGTAAAACTCCCCCGCTAATCTTCGACAACACCATTGCCACCATTCTCAGACAATTGCTTTTCTTTTTCCTGTTCCTCTGCAAAAATGACAGTGATTAGACAAATGTTATGGATGTTACATCACCGCAAATGGCAAATAAAATGACAATTTCTTTGATAATTTAAAATGGTCAAATGCAATCATGGAGGAGAACAATTGAAATCTTCGCATGACATTTCATCACACATGCAAAATCAAACTGCACAATCACTTACCCATTAGTTTATATATTGCCTTTTGCGTGCGTCTTTCAAGCTTATCAAGCTTATTCTGCACATCTCTTCGCAGGTCCCAGTTTGGCTTCTTTGGAGCAATGTTGAGAAACGGATCCTAAAAATACAAAAAAATAAGCAGAAAAAAGAGAGAAAGAACAAAGACATAGACCACTACTAAGGAAACTTGATATTTGAAGTAACAATTACCTCTTCCTTCTGTGATGGTGGAGGTGCAGCAGCAACAGGATCTTCAAACTTTGGTAGTACTGGTGGAGCAAGCTTACCCTCCTGAAGCTCCTTGTCTTGAGGAACATAATTTCGGAACTTCATGCTGGGATTACTGAAATGAAGAAAAGGTAGTTGTGCACGTTAAAACATACTCTATGATATTATTAACACACGCACACTGGACATAAACACCCATAAACATATCAAATTTGTAGCACATTTTCACAAAACCAGCTAACTATATGCTAATGATTTCTATTTGAACATTGTTTTGTTCTGAGCAAGGTGGTGCCAGGAAGAAAGTCTCATAATCTCTAAGATCTCATTGACAATCTTCATTGTATCTTTGCACAACGAAAGGGGGCAGGGGGAAGCAAACCACAAACTAATTCACACAATGAAACATTTATCCTTGACGATCTTTGATTCAAAAAACCCTTTGCCTTTATATTAGATAAGTTCCATGGCATTACAATTACTTGCTTCTTCGTTTTTTCAAGTCATTGGAAAGTTCCTTGGAAACAAAAAAACACATATCTAATCAAATATCTTCTGGACTAGATGGATCCTATTCCTAGATGATGACTGACTATAATTTCATCTTTGGGAAGCATTAACAGAGTATTTCCCTAAATAGCTACATATTGGGATAGACATGACCATTATAGATCCAAGCTGTTCTTTTTTCCCTAACATGTACAATTTCCCCCCTCAAGTATCCCAATAGCTAAGACAAAGAAACAATAACTTCAATCTAAGCAGTTGTATTCAACCCATCCAGTGATAAACAATAAACAAAGTAACTAGCCAACCAGTAACCATTAACATAACCACAAAAAGCAAACGAGTTTCTAAATCTTTATTTATGCAAACAAAAACATATTACCTAACTTGTGGGGTTAGGTTAATGAGAAAAGTTAAAAAAGGGGAAGAGGGTGATATATTAAGCTATACTCACGATTCTTGGGCAGCTTCATCGTCGTCATCGTCATCGTCGGCGGTCTTCGCAGAATCAGCATCAGGAGTATTTAGCAATTCTTGAGCAGCTTTGAGAGCCTTAAGCCTCTCACGACGGGCTGCTGCTGCTTGTTCAATTGACTCTTCTTCCTCTAAACCCATTACTACTTACAGTCTTCCTTCCACGATTGATGCTTCAAATTAACCTTGAGCCAGTGATGTAATCCCTGTCTTTCCCTCTTCTTTCTCTCCTATGCCTCCTCTCTAAGCTCCAAAAGGATGCTTCGAAAAATAAATATATGGATCTAATCTAACCGACCCTTTTTCTTTTAACTGGGCCACATGATTCTAAAAATGGGTTTTAAAGCTCGTGATGGTAAATGGGCCTTTTCCAACACAGAGACAGACTAAATACTGCCATGTTGCAAAGGTAAAACACTACTCCCAGCCCATTTTTCCTTCTTCAAAGAAACCAGTTTGATTTCAGAGTGCTAACTTATAATTGATGATTAGCTGTTGTCTGTATTTGATGATTGATGATGGAGCAAGTAGAAGCAGCAAGAAAGAGATGCTCAAGAATCATTGAAACCATATACAAATTACCTTCTCAAACCAACATCACTGAATCATGCAAACGCACTCTCCTCAAATTAGCCCAATCTGAGCTCCATTTCCTCTCCTCTCGCTCCACTTCTACCCCCCACCACACGCCCCTCAGGTTTTCTCTTCAACCAAAAAAGACATCACTTTTTCATCACTGAAACAAATCCAATATTACAATCTATTATAAAGTTTCGTGTTTTTGTTTTGCAGTGTTAATATCGGGCACTTAGAGGCTGTGATTCACATTCTACAACAACCCTGTATAACTGGAGTTTCACGGGTTTGCAAGCCAATTCCTTCATCACTTCCAAATAGGAAAAAGATTGAATCTCTTACAAAGAATGCGGTTCATGTTGATATTGTCTGTACTCTTAATAAAAACCCAGTTTGGATTATTGTTTCTGATAGGAACCCAATATATGTTTCTTGGTTTAGAGAGGGTAAAAGTAGTAAAGGCTTAAAATTTAGACTTGAACAAGTTTTGGGTGCTGCTCAATCTACTCAGATAATGAAACCTTGCTCTATTGTTTTGTTTTTCTCACACGGGATTAGTGATTTAGTTAACGAGAAGCTTAGAGAAGAATTTGGGGCATGTCAGCTTGGATTGGAGTTTGCTTTGTTTGATTTTGATTTATGTGAGGAATTAGAAGGTGGTGAATGGATTAATGTGGTTGCAAATGCAAGGTCATTTCAAGAGGCATGCGTTTTTGAAATCAAGGTTGGTGGTACAAAGGAAAATACAGTTTTGGGTTCAAAATATGGGGTTGAGAGGTCATTGAGTCTTAATCCTACTGGGCTGGAGATGATGGAAGAGGTCACAAAAGAAAACTTGGATGATGGTTTTGATTCTCTTATTTCGGAGATGAAGTTGTCATTGATGAAAGTTAAAAGTGTGGATGTTGCTGGGCCAGGGGATTTCATTGGAGATGATGATGGTGATGATTTTATAAATCTTGATACAACAGCCTTAATTGCAATTGTATCAGGAATTAGCAATGGTTGTACTGAGAAACTTTTGGCTACACCAGAGGATGAATTAAGGAAGCGATTTAAAGGAAATTATGAGTTTGTGATTGTACAGGTAAGATTTGATTTGATTTTTTGTTTTTGGCTGCTTTATTGCCGTACAATCTTAAGCATCTATATCACATAGGGTGTAATCTTTGTGCTTTTATTTCAACTGGAAGTTCAAATAGCAGTTGTTATATATTGCACGGATTGCAAAGCTGAAAATGGACGGTTAAGTTAGCAGACATCATAGCTGTTCAGATGTCGTTGTATTGAGTGGCATGCAGTAAGATGTGTGCTAAAATGGTTCGATACATTATTAATTTCTTTAAGAGTGTTGCTATTTTAATTTATAAATTTTCTCCTTTGACCATTATGGACTGTAGTACATTTTTTCCTCCAATTTCAATGTCTAAATCTTTCTCAACCTCTTGCCAGGTCAAATCTGAAATTCAGAATCCAATACTTGCAGAGATGGCTGGTGTTATACAAGGAAAGAGAGGCATAATATGTGAAAGTGTTCGTTCAGAGTTTAAACAGTTGGTATCAATGTGTGGAGGGCCTAATGAGAAGCTTAGAGCGGATAAAATACTGAAATGCCTTATGTAAGTTATTTGGCAGATTGTTCTTTTCTTAAGCCATCAAATCTAGTTTAAAACGGTTCAAGAGAATTGATTTTGATAATCATGCAACTGTTAGTGTTGTTGGAGCTTCTTTATTTTTTTTTCTCTCTCAGGTTTTCTTCTTCTAATCAGTTTTTTTTTTTTCTCTCTCAGGTTTTCTTCTTCTAATCAGTCTATCCTCCATCTTATTAATTCCTCTTCTTATCGTGCTTCTTCTTTCTTTCTTAGCTGTACATATAATATGTAGTCTTTAATATGAACAAGATCTGAAACCAGCCATTGAACTCTATTTTTGTGCTTCAATTTTAACCTTATAGCAACCAATCATACATATTTATCCATGAAACTCTGTTTTCCTAAAGCCGTTTTAATCAACTATAAATAATAAATGATTCTCATCCCGCAACTTAGTTGAGAGTGTCCTGATTTGTTTCCAGGATTCCAATGCTAAATGCGCGCCCTTTTTCCCCTCCCTAAAACAGAATGTGAGTAAACTCTGTTGGTGTAGTTCTGGGCCTAGGATAAATCCCATGAAACCAACTGAATCACATTTCCACAAATATTTTGCTCAATTCCGGATTTCATTTCTTTCTTTCCTTATTTTTTTGTTGTTTTCTTTTTTCTTTTTCGATGTATGGAATATGGATATCATGTGTGATTTGCTGTACTGATGCTAAGAAATTGGAATAGGGTTGTGCTGGATAGTCCTTCAGAACGCATGATGGGCGTCCCAACAACAAGAAAATTGGCATTGAAGAACAAGGTCGTTTTTGGGACTGGTGACCATTGGCGTGCTCCGACTTTAACAGCAAATATGGCATTTGTGCGGGCAGTTTCACAGACTGGGATGCCTCTGTTCACCATCGAGCATAGACCAAGGGCCTTAACTGGTGATTAGCTGTATGCAAATGTGTGACTGATTAGCAATTAAAATATTTGTGGTTAGCAATCACAGGCATCAAAACTTTGTTTAGCTATTCATTAGTTACTAGCTTTACATCTGTAGTACATAAGAATAAAAAAATTGGCTTACTATGAAATTGATGCTGAAGGAAAAATAGGAATTGATTGCAACTAACAACAATAAGAAGTCTGTGATTAAAGAACTGTAATGTTCATTAATTTCAACACTGTTAAGATTACATCAGAATAAGCAGGATCTCACTGCCTAGATGTGGAAATCTCTCCCATAATTTGTAATCTCTCCAATAACATTCTTAGAAAACCTCTATGCCCGTTTGGAGAAAGAATTTAACGGGAAAAATTTTAGTATATAATTTTAATTAAACGCTGTCTTAGCCAGTGCAAACAAGAAAATAATATCGACCATCTTCTGGGAAGTTCCAAATTTGTTGATATGGTTAATTACAGCTGATTTTTTTCTCTCCACCGCCATTCTCAACATATCTTATAGTTTGAAATGTGACATTCTGAAGAACAGTAGGGTTTCGATTGGGGTCTTTTCTCAAGACTTGCTGGATTTTTGTGACCGAATCATGATTCTTTCACTAATATGGTAATTCTCTGTGTCTAGTCGCCTCCGGAATGTGCTCTTCTGAACAAGTCTTATCGTTTAGAGCGTGTCATTTTTTAAGAATGGGTGGGATCCTGGTCATGGTTTTTGCTTAGACTGCCTGGATTTTGTGACCTAGTCATGGTTGTTCCGTGCCTGGTCCTCCAAGAACACGCTGCTTACCACTGTAAGAAGTAAGGTTTTTGCTCACTTTCTTAGCCAGAAAAGTTGTTTTTGGCATGGTGGTTTGATGTCAGCCAGCAAGCATGCAGGCGGCATGCATTCCATTTAACAATTTTCTACTTTCCTAAAATAATTATATCCTTAGTCACTGATATTACAAACAAAAAAAAGTAAATATAGAAAAAATCATCATCACAACTGAGAAATGCGTGCCGAAAGCGGGGGGAAATGGGAAAAAAATAGAAAGAAAAAAGAAATTCTAATGCAATACATGCATTGAAATTCAAAGCTTTAATCTAAACTTGCAATTACTAGCCTTGATGCTAATCAGATTGTTGGTAGATAAGCTATTCACCATCAGCAAGCAATCCCCTAAGATCCTCATCTTCCTCAGCTTCAACCTCCCAAGTTTGATAGAAACAGGTGCATCAATCTTAAGATCCAATGGAATACGTCCTGTTTGTTGTTGCTCTTGCAATGTCCTCATTAAAGTGCTTCCATACTGTGTTTTCCCTGTTAAGCTCACATCCAATTTTGTCATGTTCTGGTGACCTTGGTAGAATTTTGGTATTGAACCTTGACAAAGCTTAGTGTTTGTGTACCATACACTCAGCAGCCCACCTTTCTCGTAGTAAATTACAATCTTCTTGTTGGGGTTATTTGCTGTGATCTTCATATCGAACTTAGCATATAAGGTCATATCAAAGTTGAGCCTCAGGTCACTTATTCTCAAGCTATCTACGGAGTAGTTGGGGATTTTTGGTTTGAAGACAAGGTAAAGAATGCCCGCGGTGGCTCCGACAATCCCTAGTAGAAGGACAAGGAGACCTACTGTCCAACATATGCACTTGCAACAGCAACAGCTTGAGGTTTGTGATAACTTACTTGCCTGCATAACTGCTGGAATGGTACGTAATGACGGTGGAGGTTACTGCTGACTCAGACTCGAACTGCCCTTTCCAGATGCTACCAAACCTCACAACATCAATGGTGCTGTTAGTGGTGGCGCTTCCACATCTACTGCTGGATGAATTCTCTGGTTATCTCCCATCACCTGAATTCTTTCTTCATCTCCTCCTTTTTTCCCCTTCTATATCAAAACTTATGTGCAGATTTGGGAGTTTGTTTTCATCGTTGCTCTCTTCTTTACTTAAACCAGTAGTTGTACCTCAAAAGCATTGAAAATATATAAAACCCTTTCATAATTATATCAAGCAGAGGGAGCTAGCTGACTAGAGGAGGTTCCTTGTAATGTATGACCTCTGATTTTGTGCTTGAAACAAGGCACTTTTTGACAGGGAAGGTCTTACCTTCCGCACCTAATAATAGCACATGGGACTCTTGATACAAGGTAGTTCAGCCAAGTAAAATGCATTTATTGGAATTTCAACATTCCAGGAATCTTTATATGCAGCATGTCTCCCTAGAAATTAATTAAAAAAAAGGGCAAGGTACCTCCTCTCGGACCTAACTATTAAAATGTGCTGCAAGTAGATTCATCTAGAAGAAAAGAAAAACAACGTCGTAATGTAAGGAGCTTTTTTTTTTTTTTTTTTGAGAAAACCCAATTTAAGGCCTC